AATCACCCTTGTGATTCTGCAGCCTGAGCACACAAAGGTTGGATCACTAAAACCCTGGGTTTCCCCTCTTAGTAGTCAGATTGAGCCTCTCCCACCATACCTCCCCTTATCTAGGGCCTAAGGTTGCCAATGCACCTTATAAACGAATGGAACACAAGCACTGGCTTCAGCATCCATCTTCTGACCAAGGACACCTCTGTCCAGGTGCTCTATGGCAGGTTCACCCCATTCCCCACTCTCTAGATTAATCCTGACCTAGAAGGCAGTGGCCTCTGGTATGGAAGTATACAATTAGTCAAGGCCACAGTGTGGACCAAGTATCTCCTGGGAGGAGGGGGGAGGGGGAAGAGGGCACTGGAAGGAGAATGGAGGTGCCCTGGACTTAAGATCTGGTGGGCTGGAGTTCAAACTCAGCCCCTGAAGTGACCCTCAGTCATCAGTATTTAGATTTGCGAAATCAGAACAACCTTCTTAACATCAAATATGTAATTGCCAAGATTAGGAAAGATAATGGATCGTAATCTGAGTCCAGTAAAAGTATATTCCAGTCCCTCCTCAGACCTATTCTAATATTCCACCTTGAACTTGGATAAGGGTAAAGTGGTTAACTTCAGTGGCCCTAATGGGACAAATGGCTGTAGTAATCTTTGCCAGAGGGGAGAGTGATCCCTGCCTGGGGGGGGGGGCATCAGTTTGGATTTTGTTGGGTTGCTTCCTTGCTAGTTTCCCCTCAGCTTCCCTGCCACTGCACCTTTCTCCCCAAGCTCCCAGAAGTCTTGTAGAACCCACTCTGGGTCCAGCCTCTGCTGGCAGGTAAGCCTAAATCAGACCAGGGTATGGGCTCCAGTATACTCAGTGCTGCAAATGGCAAAACTACAAGGGGAAGGTGTCATTAGGTTCTTCCCATGCACTCTGAATCTGTCACACCCTTGGAGAACACAGGTAGCCATTAGGAATCTGCTTTCCCAAGAAGAAACTGAGGCTAGGGACTTAGATCTTTTAAATCTATGATGCCCACAGTCCTTGCCTGCACCTGGTATCCGGCCCCCTGCTCCTGACCTTGGGCAAATGCCCACACCTCTCTGAGTATCGGTTGCTCCATCTGTAAAGTGAAAGTAATACTTCCCTCTGGGGCCAGTGAGAAAACAAATAAAATGAAGTCTATCAACACCCATTAAGTGACTGGTACAGCTTAGGTTACTTTCAAGTGATCAGAGTTATCATTTGATGAAAGTCACCAGCCCTATCTTTCTAAAAATTCCATACACTCCACAATGCGGATACAGATCTCTTGGTTATTGTGCACACGACTACATACAACTCACCTTTGCTCACATTTACGTGTATTTTATTAGTCATGTTTCACACCAACTCACGCACATTTGCACATGTACGCACGCAGAACTATGTGTCAAGCACCTGCCACGTGACAGGACCCGTTCTTGGTCTGGGACACCAGCACGACTTGGAGGGCTATTGGAGCTGAGTTTTGCAAGGAAGACTTGCCATTTGTTTACAGAGTTCGGGGCGGGAAGCGGTCTCATCGCACTTGTTTGAGCACCAAATGCTACCATTCTGTAGCCTCCTAATTTGCGGGCCAGGATTGATGGCTGAAATGCATCCCCGCTCCCCTTCCTTTTTTTTTTTCCTTTCCTTTCCTGTGCCGGGAGCCTTGCCTTCCACCTCATCCCTGGCGGGTTCTGCACAAGGACGGCGCTCTTCTTGGCAGCCAGGAGGAGATGCCGCCTGAATGCAAGCAGGAACTCGGGGAAGGGAAAGGGGAGAAACAGAACCAAAGGCGCGGGAGGCGGGAGAGAGACCCGGAAGCGGTGGGAGGTCTGCGTCCAGGAACCCCGCGCGAACCCCCACCCCCGCGGGTCTGGCATAGGCAGCCGAGCAAAGGCCGCCCCGATACGCACCCGGCCTTTTGTGCGAGGGAACCACAAAGGAGAGGGAAAAACACGTCTTCCGTTTTGACGGAGGAGACCAACCGCTCTAGGACGCAAGGGCCAGCCAGGAAGCCCCGGAGCCAAGTAGCCCGAGCCTGTGAGCTCTCAATTCCCAGGGAAATGGCTTGGGCTCAGCTGAGCGCACTGCTGGGAACCGCGGCTGCCGGGACTAGCACAGGAGATGTACCCCGGGCGCTAGGCTCAGTACCTGGACAAGTGCCGTGACGCATGCAGGACGCACAAGGGCAAGCGCTGGCCGCCCCACTTTAAATTTCCAATCATTTCGGGGCCGGGGGAGGGACACAATGAGATGTATCCAGCGTCCAGTTTGCCCCCAAAATAATGAAAAGGAGAGGCACACAGACCCCACCCCCGCCCCACACTCATCTCCCAAGCAACTCTGGCGAAGGGAAATTGTTAGGGGAAGGCAGCCAGGAGAAGAGGCCTACAGCCCAGAGCTGCCAGCCCGAGCTTCGAACCAAAGGAGTGAGAACCGCGAGGTGCCGCTGCACAGCCCCAGAACTGTCCCTGCAATCTCAGCTCGGTGGCGCTTGCTGGGGATGGAGTGTTTACGGGCGTCCAGGAGGAACTTGGAGGGCAAGCGAACTCTCCTGCCTTCGGACTCTGCCTTTCAGGCTCCAGACTCGCTCCTTCCTAGGATGAGCTCCCCACTTTCGGCCCTGCCTCCGACTCCAGCCACTGGACCAAACGTGTAAAGAATGTCAAATCAAGCTCTCCCGCAGACCGCTGGACGCAAGATAGATTCCAGTGGGAAGCAACAAAAAAAAGAAACTCGAGCTCTGGGACACGTGCCGGCGGCTGGACTGAAGGCAGCGCCTGCAACCAAGGCGCGCGCACGGTGTGCCCGCTAGTGTTTATTAGATGCTCTGGCAGGCGCACAACTCCACGGCCCAGCTGGTGGCCCCACAGCTCACACCTCCACTCCCGTCCTCACTGCGGTTGACGGGGAAGTCCAAAGGTCGGAGCTCTTCCTGATTCCCACCCCCGCTCCCTGGGTTCGTCCGTCTGTGTGACAGATTCTGGTAATTGAACGGTTATGGGTTATCCTTGCAACCGTTGGACGGCATATCACCACGCTTCAGTTCTTCATGTTTTAAATACATATTTAACGGATGGCTGCAGAGCCAGTTGGAAAACACGCGGGTTGAAAAATTATGCTCCAGAAGGCACAAGACGGGCAAAGGCGAAAACCCACTGGGCTTTCTAGCATCGACCCTGGAGGAAAACTTAGAACCGAACTAGGAGCAATAACCTGGGTTTTCGTATTAGCTTGTTTTGTAACGTTGCTACATGAAGACAAATTATGATGTTTGCTTGTTTTTGTAATATATACCTTGTGTATATTAAATGTTCCCAAACAAAGAAAGTACCCCCAATAACCCTTAATATGCCCTGGGAGACAGAAGTGGGGGCAGTGTGTATGAGTGTAGGGGTGTGTGTGCGCTTTGTGAGGAGCTGTAAGGTTAAGGATTGGGGAGCCCCGGCAGCTCCTTCTACCCTAAGATCCTACACTCTGCCATCTGTACTCCAGAGGAAGGGGCTGCGCTGTAAAGACTGAGCAATTTTTCTGTAGGGTCTCTAGATTTTTAAATCTAGAATGGAATTTTAAAATCTGTAAAATGGGTAAGTGCCTAGGCACCTCTGGACAACCTCAGATGCTTCTCCAATTCGGGTTCAATACCTCCTGGTCAAGGTATTTCCCTATTTGAGAGTCGGGCTGTGATAAGTAAAATGTGTCCCGAACCATCCAGGAACAGTTCAATCTCCGCTCCCTACCTCACCGCAGAAGGAGGACTTAGCTCAATCCTGAGACATCTCTTTATAAACAAAACCCAGTCGTGCTGGAAACGCTATCACTGGGCTTCCCCGCTCCTAAACAGGCGGTGGGGATATTTAACTCGTGGTGCACTTACTCAGAGTTAGTGCGGTTACTGTACGGAAACAACTCGACCTTGCACATTCTCAACTTTATGAAGAGTTGTGATTCCCTTCAAAACACCGTCCGGGAGCCGGTCCCCTTCTTCCTCGCCCGCCCTCTGCCCAGCAAAGCCGTGTTCCCACCTGGGGGCGCTACCGCCTTCCTGCGGAGCAGCGGCAACAACCACCTAGTACAAGCGCTCTGAGAGAAGAAAGTGGGGGCTTTGTGCATGGTTAATCTTTAAATTGGGGGGCCCAAATGCTCGCGTGTTGATCAAACCCAAGAGATGGCAGGAAGCCAGAGAAAGAGAAAAGTAGGGAGCTTCCACTGCGTCTTGAGCGTTATCTGCGCACATCTCCAAGATCCAGCTGCGCTGGACGTCAGGTTAGTTTTTAGGCCGGGTCTCAAGCCCACGCGGTCTCCCATTAGGACTCCGTGGTCAATATATCTTTATAGAAATTTAACGATGCTTCTCTCTTCCTCGGTCCCAAGCGCTTTCGGCCCTCTCTCCTTCCCGGGTGAGCCTGCCCTCCTCCTCCCGCTCGGCTCTCACTGTCGCTGGCGGGGTCTCCTCCAGTCCCTCCACAAGAATCTCTCCACCGCGGACGCCCATTGGTTGTGCGCGGGGAGGAGGCGTGTGCCGGACCGGGCGGGTTTCATTGAGCGGAATTAGCCCGGATGACATCAGCTTCCCAGCCCCTCCAGTGGGCCCAGCTCATTGGCGCGGCTGCCCCTCCAGGACAAGCACATTGTTTCCCTTCCCCGCCCCCGCCCCGGCCACCACCGCCGCCGTCGTCGCCGCCACCCGGCTATAAAAACCGGCCGATCCCTGAAAGGTGCGGATGCTTATTATAGACCTACGCGACACTAGCGCCCGGAGCCAGGATCTCCACAGCAGCTTTTTGGAGCGAGCTCCTCAAATTGGATTCACAGTAAGTGTCCCCGCCCCCCAGCAGCCCTAGACTAGATCCCGAGGACAGATTCCCCCCACCCCCACCCCCGCTCAAACTCGGCGGCGACTCAGGATGCTCCCACCGAGGGGGATCTGGATCCCTCCAGTACCGGTCAGTTATACCGAGCGATTTCACTGCTTTGACTCACCCCTCACTCACCGCAGCATCCTCTCCGCCCAGAGCCGTAAGTCGAGGCGACCACAGCTCCTTCTGTGGATCAGCCCGGGTCAGTCTGGAGAGCTCCCGGTGGTCCCGAGACGCACACATGGACCCTGGGCCCTCGCAGTCTCTGGCTGTATAAGTGCGCGCGTGGTTGCTGCGCGGTGTCGATGGAGATAAGGTGGATGCGTTTGAGGAACCAAATAAATAGTTCTCAATTCAGATCCTCACAATACCCGAAGAAACGCTCTCACTTGTTCCTTGCTTATTCCAGTCCTGGAGACCCCGCTTTCCCATTCCTAATAGAAGGAACAAAACCTCTAGCACACCCCTCACTGAGGACACCCATGCTCTCTAAAATAAAACAACCTGTGGATGAGAGCAGAGGGGAGGCGGTGGGGAAGGAAAGAGGAGATGAGTCATGAATACCGGTGCGGCTAGAAGCAAGGCCAGAGACAGCAGCGAGGTGGACGCAGAGCTACCCGCCACCCGTGCCTGGACTCTGCGCTAAGGAGCAGGCAGGAGCAGCTTTTCTGTCTCACTTAGTGTCTTCTTTCTCTCTTCCATATATTCATATCGCGCCCCCCCCCCCATTTCTCTCCGGGAAGCTCTGAGGACCCAGTGAGAAAGGACCTCGCAAAAGCTGCGACTCTTCCCCGAGGCCATGGACTCGGACGCCAGCCTGGTGTCCAGCCGCCCGTCGTCGCCAGAGCCCGATGACCTTTTTCTGCCGGCCCGGAGCAAGGGCAGTAGCGGCAGCGGCTTCACAGGCGGCACAGTGTCCTCGTCCACACCGAGCGACTGCCCTCCAGAGCTGAGCGCCGAGCTGCGCGGAGCCATGGGCGCGGCGGGCGCGCACCCCGGGGACAAGCTGGGCGGCAGTGGCTTCAAGTCATCTTCGTCCAGCACTTCATCGTCCACGTCTTCAGCGGCTACGTCGTCCACCAAGAAGGACAAGAAACAGATGACCGAGCCGGAGCTGCAGCAGCTGCGCCTCAAGATCAACAGCCGCGAGCGCAAGCGCATGCACGACCTCAACATCGCCATGGACGGCCTGCGCGAGGTCATGCCTTATGCGCACGGCCCGTCGGTGCGCAAGCTCTCCAAGATCGCCACGCTGCTCCTGGCGCGCAACTACATCCTCATGCTTACCAACTCTTTGGAGGAGATGAAGCGACTGGTGAGCGAGATCTACGGAGGCCACCACGCCGGTTTCCATCCGTCGGCCTGCGGCGGTCTGGCGCACTCTGCACCGCTGCCCGCGGCCACCGCTCACCCGGCGGCCGCCGCTCACGCAGCGCACCATCCGGCAGTGCATCACCCCATTCTGCCTCCCGCCGCAGCCGCCGCAGCTGCCGCCGCCGCCGCCGCGGCGGTGTCCAGCGCCTCTCTGCCGGGCTCCGGGCTGTCGTCTGTCGGCTCCATCCGGCCTCCGCATGGCTTGCTCAAGTCTCCGTCAGCGGCCACGGCCGCCCCGCTCGGGGGCGGGGGAGGCGGCAGCGGAGGCAGCGGTGGCTTCCAGCACTGGGGAGGCATGCCCTGCCCCTGCAGCATGTGCCAGGTGCCACCACCACACCACCATGTGTCGGCTATGGGCGCCGGCAGCCTGCCGCGCCTCACCTCCGACGCCAAGTGAGCTGGTCGGTGCTGGAGCGTTCTGGAGAGCAGGGGGTGCCCAGAGGGTGCAGAGAAGCGAGGGGACTGGCCGGCACTAGGGCTCGCAAGGAGGGGCTCAGGACCATGGGCTAGGGTGGGGAATGATTGGGACTACAGCGCCCGGGAATGGAAGTAATGGGAACGCGCAGAGTCGGGAGTGAGGGGCGCTTGACTCCGGGACCTAGTTCGGCCCTCGGCTTTAAACTGCGCAGATCCGGTAGACACTACTTCATAAAATGGCACCACCGTATGCGTCCTTCACTCGAATTCCTTCTCTCCACCCCGGGGGAAAGAATCTAAAAACTGTTTCCCCAAGAGCCAAGGTTTAACTCCCAGATTGGACCCCGGCAGCACTTCGTGGGGGGTCAGGGATTTTCCCTCCTTCCTCCTTTCACGGCTGGTAGGAGACTCTGGTGGGATCCTCACTGCAGAAGCAACCGCTGGGCCTCACCCTCAAGGGTCGTCTCCAAGCCTGGGCCAGGGGCAATGAGTTAGATGGAAGTTGGCGCTGGTACCCGAAGCACTTACGGTCATGTCTCGTCATGCCGGGTTTCCATATCTGGGTAAACCCACATCGTGTAAAAACTGTGGCCATTCCTGTCTCTCTTGTTGACTTGGGGGTTTGTGGTTTTCTAATAAATCTGTGAATGTTCCTTTTTCAACAGTATGAGCAAGCTTTATAGACGCTCAGAATAGAACCACTTGTGGAGTGAAATAACCCAAACTGCCGATTTAGGGGGAGGCGGGTGTTTTTTCGGTATTTTAAAATGAATACTAGCCCCCGCCCTCTCCATTCTTTCCGTCTTGAGCGCGCGCGCGCACATACACACACACACACACACACACACACACACACACACACACACACACACACAAAGTGATTTGGTTTCTTACCCGATTGGGAACAGTTATTTTGGTACCTGAGGGTTTGACAGAACTGAAAGAAGATGCTGTGAATATAGCTTGAGTTATGGGGGCGGGGTTCTGTTAGTTGTTTAATAATTTCTTTCTGGAAGATGTAAATACACTATCAGTGATGAGGTAAGTGCAAGATGCTAAGCTGTTTGCTCACGTGACTGCCAACCCCTCCGGAGTCTGAGCCGGCTTTCCTCTCTGTATCGGTTTCTTTTTGCCACGGTTTTTTTTTTTAAACTCAAATGGCAAACTACTCCACGTGCTTCCTGCTCTGGTGCAAATCGCCGGGCGCTGGTTGCGTTGCAATATGGGCTTCAAATCCTCTGCCACATAACATCCCTCCTCTGATAAACACTGCCCTAGCAGAGAGTGTATCATCTGTTTTATTTTTGTAAAAAAAAAAAAAAAGTGCTAAATAATATTTATTACTTGTTTGGTTGCAGAAAATGAAATAAATGATTGAGTGTTGAGATTTTAAATAAAACTTCAAGTAAATCAAACTTTTTCATCCGTGTGAGTGGGAGGGTGCTCAGGGAGCTCCCAAAAAAGAGGGGCGAGGAATGCGATTTTCTGGGGAGGATTTAACCAGCATCCTGTTGGTTTTCCCCAGGAGAAAGATAGTGGGGGGCTGTTTGTCAATCGCCCCCAACTCCTCCCCTCCTGCGCATCCATTCTGTTTAAATAGCCTTTGAGCACATCCTTCCAGTATTTATCACAACTTGCTTTTCTTTAATTTTATTTTTCAGTTCTAACCCGGAAACTCCCTTTCCCTTCAGTTAAAGATTGCTAGTTTAGGAGTGTACATTTCCTTGTGTGGAACTCTGACCTTTCCCGGAGAAAGCCGTGCCTTGGGCTGGGGGTCTGGATACTCAGACATCCTCTTCTGCCGAGCTTTTATTTTCTCTCTGCTCAAGGGCAGTTGCTGTTCCCCACACAGCCCAGTGGGTTCCCTTGGCTTCAGCAGGGAACCAGGCGCTTGGGGCTGAGTGCTTGCTGCGGGAAGGCCCGCGGTGTGGAGGGTAAAGGGCTGCACAGGAATGTTTGGTTAGGGAATCCATCAGCCCATCTGTCCCTTCTCTGGGCTTTGTACCACCTTGCTGTGGTGCCCACTCAGGTCTGAAACTGCAAAGAGCCAGGCCCTGGGGACTACTTGGCTCTTACTTGCCCAACTTTGGCCTCTGTGTTCTTTCCTGGGGTGACTTTTCTTGCGGACACAGGGCTCCTTACAACCCAAAGCTGTAATGCAGATTGAAGATATAGCTCTTAAGGGGGATTCTGGATGGAAATAAAAGCAAACAACAACAATAACGAAACAAAAACAAGAACTTCAGCCTGATCATGAACAGGGACAGATCCTGTTGCAGTCTCTTCTCCAGAGCTCTGACCAAGAACGCGCTCGTTCCTGAAAAGACCGGTTGCTGCGTTCTGACATCTTTAGTAGCCACTGGCCGAAAGCCCTTGAACCTGGGGCTAGGTTTCCCCGTTCCCATTTATTGAGTCCAGTCGGGGAGGAACCCAGCCCACGCAGAGTCCCTTGTCCAGGCCTGGGGTTGATTCCATCCTCTAACTCTGCAGGCTAGCGCTAGGGGTCCTCTACTGGGTAATGTCGGGCAGCTGGCCAGAACAGCTGCGTCCAAGAACCAGGAAAGGGTGCTGTAGGCCTTGCTTTTCACCAAAGGCTAGGAGGGATTTCGGAGGAGGCCAAGCACTTGGGGGCAGAGAAAAGCAGCCCAGCGGCGCTAAGTGAACCCAAGCAGAGGGCAGGGTAAGATCCAGTCATCTTTATTCCGAATTTCCCATTTGAAACGAAACTTGCAAAGAATTTAAAACTGGGTCCAGCTCTAGCCGCAGACACATACAGAAGAGGCTGGGAACCCTGACCCGTGCAAGCTAAGGGTAGAGGTAGAGGGCTTTGTATGGTAGTGGCCTCTTCATTCACTGCAAAACACGGAGGGACGCGTGCTGGTGCAGCCTCGGGGTGTATGCATAGAAGGACCAATGTTGAAAGAAGACAAATTAAGTCTTGCCCGCCACTCTGGTCCCCAAGTTCTCAGCAGTATCTAGCTGAAGGCCAAGCTAGACCCCTGCCAAGTTAGGAGGAGCATGAACTACTCATCCAGCTGGGAGCCTCAGCCTCAATGTGTGAGGCCCCAACATCCCTGGACCCTAGGGGGGCACATACACATGCACAGAAGCAGCATGGGGCACTGCGGGTAGGGGGCAGACACCCTTGAGGAGGGTGGCCCTGAACTGACCAGGGTCCTGGATAGAAGGTTCAGGCTAGCGGCTGGACTTCCCTGAGAAGAGAGAGAAAACTGTGCACAACTTTGACTTTGATTGGAGCCTTAATTGGGAACAGGCTTCCTACTAAAAGAGAGAGGGAAAGGCAAAGGAAAGCCGCAGGGAAGCAGTGCTCCTTGTGGCACTTGCCACAGTGAGTTGGCACCAGGAAAGCCCTGGTCCCTAAACATTTTCCAGCACTAACCTGAGTGAAGCTCAACTTCTTTCCAACTTCAAAACCCTTTGTGTGGCCTTTGTGGCTCCTCAGGTTTCAGCTGCTGGGCCCACGGACTCACCAGATCCCAAAGTCTGCAGAGACTTGCCCCCCAACCTCCTTAAAAACCTGAGAGCTCTACCAGAGGAGGTTGAGAGGACAGAGTTCAGTGACCAGGGGACTGCCCCCAAGACTCATAGGCTGGAGTCATAGAAAAAGGAAATTCCCTGGAGGTATTGGAGGACTCACTCTAGGATTGGCCAGAACTCCAGGATAACTCTGATGCCCAGAGACTTGGAATTCTGCATCCCAGGGACAGGCAGTGAGCAGAAGGGTGAAGTGAACTGGCAAACCTAAAGCACATTTTAGTAGAGGATGATATTGCTGAGATCCAGAAGTGTCATACTCCCAGTGAGAGCTGGTTTTCTGATTGGCAGGGGAAGATGTAGCACCAGGGATATCCATGGTAAACTAGGGCTTCTGTAGCCACCTGGGCAGGACCTGACCTTCTCATTCCTGGACTGGACCCAGTGAAGAGCTTCTGGGGCCAGTTCTGTGTTTTCAATTCTCTGA